CGATGGTGCTGCTGATACTGCAAGGAAGAAGAAGCTGATGATGTTGCTGCTGCGGCGGCGGGTGGTGGTGGTGGTGGCGGTGGTGGTGGCGGCGGTGGCGGCGGTGGTGGGGGTGGTGGGGGGTGGTAGCGGTGGTGGCGGTGGTGGTGGTGGTGGTGGTGGTGGTGGCGGCGGCGGTGGTGGTGGAAGAAGTGGTGGCGGAAGAAGCAGCAGCAGCAGCAGCAGTAGCAGTAGCAGTAGTAGCAGCAGCAGCAGCAGCAGTAGTAGTAGACTCGGCCTCTTCTGGGGTAGTAGGGGGGTGGGGAGGGGGGGATGATGACGACAGTGTTACGCAATGATGTCGTACTTCCTTATATAGTTGCCACCCCTACTTCTGGACTGTGCGTCTTAAACTTTACTGTCTCGAACGGCTTGCGTCGAAAACTCGAAATTGGGTGGGGGAAGCCTTTCCGGGGATGTTCACGACAGTTTCGCGCAAACCCCCCCCCTCCTCAACCAAAAGCAAGTCCAAAATCCGAAGCTCGAGTTTGCAAACTCGACAAGTCGACTTTGAGGCTTCACAAGATCATCCTACGAAAGTGCTGTAATTACCGAGCAAAATGGATCTTGCCTGAACATGTTTAAGAGCAAGTGTGTTGGAGGATGATTTTAGGATGATGTTGATGATAAATTTTGGATGATGTTGATCATGATTCTTGGATGTACATTCATACATGCATGCATACATACATATATACCCAACCCCCCTCCACCTACCCTGCCCCTTGGCAGCTGGCCGTGAGGTGCTGCAGTCTTCCCGTCGGGTCCCTCAGACTGGCGGCCTCCAACAGAGTGAAGCCGGATGCTTGCAGGAGGGGCCTGCTCCGCACACACACACGCACAACAGAAGGCATGAACAGACGCGACAAAGACAAACCTGAGAACGACGAGACGGTACAGGCACAGAGAACAGGAAACACGGTTCGCTGTCGTTGCTCCGTGATCAATAAAGGAAAACACCAAACGACGTGGACCGACCCACAACCAAGCCTGTAAGTACTACGGAGCGCTCATGTCAAAAAGCATTCTCCGCTCTCTAACTTTCGATGAGTCCACGAAACCCTTCCCTAGCCCAATCCTGAGCACAAAGCTCCAAAGCCCCCCAAGCCCAATGGCTCCACCTCCACAGCGGCTGCGAGAGATGCACTTCCTGGGCGAGGGCGGTGATTTCTGCACACCTGTTTTGCGTGCAGGCCAGAGGCTTTGCTCTTGCACAAATCACGATTCGAAGCTGGAACCCAGGAACCCAAAAGATTGACCTCAGTGTTATTTCCCTGCCAAAAGCCGCGTGCTACGCTGCGACCGTCGGCCCCTGAAGCCTGCAGCGACCCTGACAGTGATGTCTTCCTTCCTGGCTGAAAAAGCCTGTGAAACTCTGGGACTTGTGAAATTCTACTAGGACTGCGAGACTACCAGATCGCAGTAAGTGCTAGGATTTTTGGGTTGGTCCAAGAAACGATGTCAAAAAGGACACGGATGCACAAAACCAGGCAAAAGAAGGTGCTCTCCGATCACGAACAAACTGGTCTGCTGTTACCGGGGCTGCACACCGTTCAGACCAAGAGAAGCCGCCAGGAAGTGCCCGGCATAGGCTGCCTGGCAAAAGGTGGATGCGAAACGGAGAAGTGCATGAAAAGCGTCCCTGTGCCCTGTGCAGTGTCCTGGTCACCGGAGATGCTGAACGCAACGTCACCTGAAATGGACCAATGGTCGGCCTCTGATTGGACACCAGGCAAACTGAGTGCATGGCTGTTTGCGGCAATGCTGACAGCTTCAGCAATCTGCTGTGCAGTTGCACCAGCCTTGAATTTGGGGGCTCAAAAGTTGCCACAGTCTGGGACACGACAATGCAAAGGACGGGGTCAGCAAGCCTGCAGTTGCAGACCTGCAGCCGAGATGACCTTGCAAGCCATGGCAGCAAGATTGCTGCAAGCTATACATGTCCCGCTGGCGATGCCCTTGCAGCCAGGGGCGGCACACCCCATGGAGCCACGACTCGGTGAGCCTGGGTAGATGCCAAGACAGCACCCGTGCTTCAGCTCCCCACGGCTTCGCGCTCTTCGGGTCTTGCGAGGCTGCTGCCTTGGCCTTAGGGCCTGGCGATACCAGCCAGAAAGCTCATCACCTGCGCTTCCGCATAGATCCGGACCAAACCTGGGCATAGGATATACCGCGACATTGCAAAATCATATTAACGAACTGCTCCAAAACTACAACTGCGGTATCCGTGGTGAGCTCTGCTATGCTGTGATACCTCTGAAACATCGCGGCACCCTGTATGTCTAAAAGTCTGAGGCGTGTTACATGTCACAAAGTACTATTTGTCAGAGAAAACCAATCTACTGCTGCGGTGCAGCACAACATCTCAGAGTATGTCCTGCCATACTAGTACACTTCTGCGGTGTAGGGTGCCACATTCTTGGAGGCTTCCCATGTACTGCAGGCTTGTGTTTCCCAGTCTCGTCTAACGTGTCTGTACTTCGCATGCGGCTGGTTGATCATAGCTGCATGGTGTCCGTAAAGCCGTAAAGCCACCACATCATAGCAACGGCGGCTAGCAGATGTGCATGCTCATGAACCGTGTCACGTTACTGTGGAAGAGGGCTTTGCGATCATATCGCAACAGGCGTAGTGGCGAAGCGGATTAGTCTAGACAGCCACTCTATTGTGATTGTAAGAAGTGCATTCTGGCAGAGTGCCGTGCATACACAAACTATCACAAACTGCTCTCTGGTGCGTTTTATGGAGGTTGGCGCTGTCCTGAGCTCCCCACCGGTTGCAATGCTGGCGGCATGGTTGTTGGCACGCTGGCGGCCGCTGCAGACCTCGGCGTTTCCACCCGGAGCTGTAAGAATCGCGGTCAGCCGATCCAGTGGCACCATGCAGCACCAGGAGTGTAAGCAGGAATCTAGTCTGCATGGGCCGATTTCAGCATCCAGCCGGAATTGTGCTAGCATGTTCCCATCGAAAATGCATTGCAGGCTCTTACGCGCAGCACAAAGATCTCGAGGCTTTTGAAACCCCATGCTTTTGAAATGCTCAAATTCCGGGTCGTTCATTCACCTGAGTAAGGTGTAGTTGCATGTGCGGGTTGTGCACATGCGCGGCGGGGATTGGCTGTCCACCCATCCACAGGCAGGAATGGCTACGGCATGTTTTGCACTGGGCCCTGTGCACAAATGCCCATCTCATTCGTGTCCTGGCAGCATCGACAAGCATGCCGGACTCATTGCAGCATGGGCAGCAAGGCTTGCCTTAGTTATGCTATGGCACTTCGGATAGTTCGTGGCACCAGCAGCAGAAAAAGGATGACAGAAAGGGACGAGGTTTTTGCCTGTGCGAGATGGGCCTCTTGCCCAAGCAATGCTGCTTCTCGACAACTTGATGCTGGAGACCCTTCTCCGAGTATCGGATGGGCTGCTCAAGGCTTCTGCCGGAAGGCCAGAGGCTAGAGCATGGCACGGCTTTGCGGACTCAGCCCGCGCCTGCCAAGCACAGGCGGGTCTATGTACAGGGCTCAGACCACGATGTTCTCCCCGTCCGGATCGCACTTCGGAGGACACTTGTCCTCCTTGGGGGCATCTGGCGGCCCATCCTGCCCATATCATGAAGATTGACAGCTGCTGTGCACCCGAAACCGCCCCTTCCAAGAATTCAAGGCAGGCGTGGCATGGCGCGCTCCTTGTAGCCTGATGCCTCCAGCCAAGCATCTGGATAGCTCAGGCTCTGCATTGTCTCAAGGTCAGTGTTGCCGCCTGTTGAGAAGCGGGACTCGCACCAGAACAGACCAGAGATGCAAAATCTTTGACCGAAGAGCTGAAGCGGAAGAGCAGATATGGCATCAGCTTCTTCCACGTTTGAAGCACCTGCAACAGCCGGCAAGAGTTGAGGATGTTGCAAAGCACGAGTGCATGCCCCTCCTCGCTAGCATGCTCCTGGAAGATCTTGTTCAGTTCGACTGGACCTCTCGAAGGTACTGCAAGAATCAAGCATGTCACTGAAAGAACGAAGGCAGGTTTGCTTGCGACTTGGCGGCTGGTGGTGCCAGCTTGGCGAACCTCAGGAAAGCACGGATCCATGGCTAACCTCATAGTAAGTTCGCGTGCTCCCAGTTCACGCATGCTCCACAAAGAAGGCGCGAATCTGTTTCTCTCGGATCCAACGCAAAGGACACCCAGATGCAAGTCCAAGCTATCCAAGCTGCTTTCTCCAGCAAGGCATCCGCATCAGACTCCGCAGCCTTTCGAGGACGGACGTTTTATCGGACTTTTCAATGACCTCCTCTGATTTATCTGATTTTGGGCGGGGATCGTGTGCCAAGAGAGCTTCGGTGATTGTGCCCTGTATGACAGGTGCGGCGGTCTGATGATTCGATGAGTTCGCCTGGAAGCTGCAATAGACAGACCGGCCTGCTGCGCGTTGTTGACGGCTTTGTGCATGACATCGAAGCGAATTTGACAGACCTTTTGCAGCAAGCTGTCCACAGGCCCAACGGAAGGGAACTCATGCTTGCTACGCGGCTGTTCACTAGAAGAGAACAGATTGGAAACACGTTGCAACACTTTCAAGCTACCTCCTTGGGCCGTCTCGAGCTCTTTTCAGTCACTAGCGTGCTGCGCAAGTCTCTTTCGATGTGCTCTTCGCTGCTTCTGCCGTTGGGAAATATTAGCGTTAGCCCATCACGCAGCGCAAGAGCGTGAGCAGTGCAGCAGCTCGCGCACGACAGACTCAAAGTGCGACAAAGCGGCATCCATCACTCTGCGAACCAGCCAATTCATCGAGTAATTCTCAAATTGCTTTGGGTTTGCAAATTGCAAGGCGTGGATGGTCTCGTTCACTCCAGACGGGATGGGTGCGAATGCCTCGGCTCGGGTTGAAGCATCCAGTGCGCAGTCTCCCCTGCTCCATCCTGCTCAGCGTGCCGTGTTCGACCTTCTCGCGTAATCCGCTTCTCGTCCAGGTGGCTGCATAGTGAGGGGGCCCGGCTGCATACCATGCAACGCTCGCAGTCCCTGCAAGATTCCAGTCTGCAATTAGTTCTGCAGATTGCAAGCAAGCGTTCACGACAATGATTGAAGGTAGCAATGTTGGGCCTTGGGGACGGCCCTCACCTGGATGGTGCAGCTGCTGAACCTTACTACATCTATGCAAGCCATCCACGAGTTCGAAACGACCACAGCGTGCAGCAAACGGCTCGGAGATCCGAGTCCAGGACATAGACGGCATTGGTGCGGTAGAGGGCAATCGATCTTTCCCAGTGGCCCTGGACCTGTAGCCAAGAATGGGCAAGTAACAACCCCATAAAGCCTACATCCTGAATGCAACTGCTAGCTCTTACTTCCTCCTAGCCCCTCCGAGTACGAAGCCGAGACGGCCAGGCCCCGGTTCCGAAACGCAAAACCCGTACTTCGTCGCTCCAACTCTTCATGCTCGGATGCATGCCAGGCACGCTTACCGGTTCCGTTGTGCACAAGCCCAGTGTGAACACCAAACCGGTTGACATGGGGATGCCAGGTCCGGTGCCGACGTGCCGAACCCGTTGTGGATGTCTGTCTCCCAAACGAATGAGTGGAAAAACAGGACAGAAAGAGATGGACGAGAAAAACCCTAGGACCGTACTACAAATACAATGCAAACGCAAGTCAAGGAAACATCAACGATCAAACATGTCCTGACAACTTCGCTGGCCAGCGCCTTTTCCCTCGATTGCCATGATAATGCGGTTGCTTCTGCTGTGGACTGCGATTTCGCTTGACCGTGCGCAGTCTCCCGAGCACCACCAGAGTACCTGAAAAGGCATGTTCCCGAATTGTTCCCCTGTCTGGTTGCCGAAAGATCGAATGGAAACAACAAGACTCTAGACTTAAATCGCATGGATGACCAGAACCCGTGACCATGCTCGAAACAGCATGCAAACTAAACGGAATCCACGATCAAGCATGTCAACTCCTCTGCTCTTCAACTGCGCCGACTTCCCCAATTGAATGCAAGCAGGAACGACTTTTCTTAATCGTCGGCTTTGTAGCACGTATACATCAAGCTACATCATCAAAGAATCCCCCAGTAGACGCTGGACGCAACGACTCTGTCACAACAGAATCCCAAGTCCCCGCTAGCTGCCGCTGGCTAGAATTCTATGGAACGTATTGAGTTTCCCGGTGTGCAGCGTGCTGTCTTGACTGAGCACGATACTTTAACCACATGCATGTGTGTGTGTGTAAAACAAGCAACAAGACAGAGTCGCTGTCTCTCTCTCCCACACGAGCAAACACACAGACACACAGACACACACATTCACGCCCCTTGTGCCTTTGAGGTCGTCTGGTACCTGTCCGGAGTTCCGAAAGGTCCGGCTTGAACACCTTTCGTCATATCCTTAGTTCTCTGGGGCTTGGTTTTGAGATGTCGGCTATGCATCTCGCTCGAAGCTAAGCGAATCTAAGGACAGGTCGAACTCCGTCCCGGCATACCTCAGGATCCCGCGCGGTATAGAACAATCATGTTGGTAGCTGATCATTAAGTTGGTAGCAATGGTGAAGGACATATTTGCCGTTATCCCTATTGCTGCCAACCTTTCGGCTATGATTCAAGAAGACCGCAGGTAGGCAGCCGTCTCACAGTGATTAAAGTCAGTGCCCATGGAGAAACGGCTGGGTCTCCCCGCCAGTCTCGGTGCCAGGACATGAGGTCGTGATGGGAGACTTTGGCGTCGGGCGCGACCGACCAGGGATACACGGGCTTGTACCGGATGTCCTCTGAGAGCGGCTTAGGCTCGGGTGTACGGGGTTTGCGGCCTGTGGGCCTAACACGGAACAACGTTCTAGGGGCTTGCGTAGGATGTTCATGGAACATCATGGAACTCATCGATATGGGCTCGGACTGGCTCTGCAAAGGCCCTGGACATCTCCACCAGTCCTCATAACTGGTTGGCAAGCTTAGGGATGGCTTCGCCATCTGCAAGCCTCGCCACATCCGTCGGCCGGAGTAGTACTTGTGGGCATACCTGAGTCGAAAGGACGGCAGTTAAATCTCTGAACTCTACTTCGCAGCTGTTCTGACAAGCGGCTCTCCGCCCGAATACATCAGCGTGAAATCGAAGGCTTGTCCTTGCTTCCACCTCGAGAAAGGCGGAACACCCGACACACGGCGCAACTAAACAGATGACTGGTCAGTTAAGCGACCACCCCTTGCTGCTCGCCACGTCGAAAAGGTTCGGCGACACGATGAAATTGTCCTCCACAAGTCCCAACGCCATGGCCTGCAGATAAGAACTATCTTGCCTTGTCGTCAGCGTTGACCTCGCGGATCGTGTACATGTTGGCCTGGTCGCCAGGCAATGGTAGGGAACCAGCGCAACTCTACAAGTCCTGCCCTGCAGGCTACGATGCCACTCCAAGTATTGCACGGCGACTTCGGCGTGAACTTAAGCCTAAGCCCCAGGCAACCACCGTCATCTGGTCGTCGGGCAAGCGCTTCGCCACCCAGATGGCGCTGGTCCCCGTGGGATCTGAGAGGATCTGGAAGGCCCAGGCCTGGCTGCCGTGCGACTCTTTTGGACCCAAAGAAAGGAAAGCTCTCTGTGCCACAGAATTCAGAAAGCACCTCGTCGGGATCTCCGACAATCAGCGATTCCCCGGATCCTTCGAAGGAATCCGGCGGCCCATAAAAGCCTCGGAACCCCAGAGGGTTCCATGCTGTGGAAGGGGTTGAAGGGGCACCATGACCATGCACTGTCCGAGGGGCCGTACTTCGAAGCCAACTGGCCCATCAGCTCGACTGCTTCACGAGAAGTGCGGCTACGCTCCATGGCAAGGTAGGAGAGCGTGTCGATGCCTCAGGCTATCGGCACCATGATTGCCAAATCAACTCTTTCGGTGTTTCCGGTATTGGTACGATCAACGACCATGCTACAATCTACTGCAAGATGCCTAGAGGGCCTAGAGCGCCTAGACAGCTCTTGGAAGAGCTACCCGGTTACCCCGCTTCCCGCTTGAGATCATGTCCTCCAGGGCTCCCGCTCTTCCACTAAAAAGGTAGCTAAAATGATTCTCCGGTAGTAAACACTCACACAAGCACCTGCGACCAGCCTGAAAGGAAATTACTGCTGAAAGGGATGCCGGTTCCCTGAATACTATGCGTGTTTTTAGGTTGTGATATTACCGTTCTTACGTTTCAGGTTTAGGGAGTGGGCTTACCAAGAGCAACACGATCAGCCTAGGCTCTCATCAGCGCCGCTCCAACTTTCCGACCAGGCTCACAACCCACCTCTGCTGCGCGGGGCGTGAGGACACGTACTGTAGGCTGTTTTGCCTCAACGTTCGGGTAAAAAGCCTAGGAAGGTGATGGAAAGTGTACACGCCGTGTGTCTTGCCTGTTGTTCTGTTCAGGATCTCGAAAGGCTGCACGACACAAGGGTATCAGCCACACTCCTCTGCAGTTGATCTGGGTGCTAAGGCGGCAAGTGGTGTACCAAAGACAATCTTGAATTTTCATCGACACCAGAAGGCCTTTGGTTCCAAAAGCCTCCAACAGCGGAAACTCAACACCCTCGCTGGCCCCCACCGGTGCTGGCCTAGTACTTGCGCTGCTGGGTTGCATGTGCATGATACCGTGTATGTCTGTATGTGTACGTGCATGTATGTGCGTGTATGCATGTATGCATGTATGTCAATGTATGTATGATTGCATTGGCACATGTGCAGGCGCAACACGCCCGCATGCACGTGCAAATGTACCTGCTGCCAGTACACAGCTTTTGTGAAACCACCTAAACAGTCCTGGTTTCATGCCTATGCACTTTTGTGCACGATCACCTCACTGTGCCATGGTACCGTGGAGCCCTTTCCACAAGTTCCAAAGACGGCACTGCAGGTCGATTCCGCCACAGAAACCTCAAGTGGGCGATGTTGTGCTTGTTCTCTCATTACATACCACACTTCGTCTTCTTCTTTTTAACTTGGCTTGCTCTCATCACAGCTATTGCCGCGTCTCTTCTATTCGCCTACATAGCTGAGTACAGTTCATCATTCATCAAGGCAATGAACTTGTTGTTCGCACTTGTTCCTGGACAGGCTGGGGCTTTCGAGACTCTGGCTTCGGCTTCGGGAAGCCATGCAGTCTGTCGGAAACGCACGCTTTGGGAGCTTGCCTCCGGACAGGATCTGGGAATCTGGTACCTGTCCTAGTAAGGCTAGGCCGTGGCTAGGCTTTGTCGGATGGCAAACGAGCCAGCTGGGCAGCTGTCTGCAAACGGATTCTTCTTTACGAAGCCAAGAGGCACCGTGCTCGTTCAGCACCCCATATGTACCACTCTGATAGCCGAAGGTGTGAGGCACCTCGTGCCAGACAAGACAGGCAGTCGAAGCAATGAGACGGTGAGAATATCGAGGAAGGGAATCCCCCAACTGTGAAGTCTGTGCCTGGTCGATGTAACCGATGGGCTCGGACGTGTTGTACCCTTTGGTGTCCGCATTAGGGCGGTAGTCGGGGCCCATGTGGTCCCCCAGATACCGCGGGAAGGTCTCTGCAGTGTGGAAAATCGGCCGCTTCTCGTCTGGCCGGTGGTCAGCAGCTGGTACATAAAGCAGGCGAGCCTGGGTGCTGACATGTCACAGCTCCTCTCGTCTCTGACGCTCCTGTTTTTGTGGTTGCTACCCAGCACTCCGTTTATGGGTGTACAAAAGATCTCCTGCATCAGATTCACTTGCGTTCACTCGACCCCGGGAAACATGCGCAGTTGACACCGGAACTAGCACGATGCGGTAGAGCCCTTTCCAGCCTGCTGGCATGCATCGCAATTATGGCAGCTTGTCCCAATCAGACACGGCAGACAGCGAAGCGCAAAGGCCCTGGCATCGTTCTGAGGATCGCCGTCATCCGAGTGCGAAATCAGCACAGAGCCGTCCTGCGGATGAGGCGACTGCTGCCACTCTCTTCAGCCAAGCTTTATGACACAACCTGCGATGCATAAGCAGGCTGAATGAGCCCACTCCTTAGTGGCCGCTTTGCCCACTGCAAACACAGTGCAGGCAGCCGTCCGCGAGGCGGCATCCAGCCATAGAAGTCCGCTCAAGGCACGAATCATCGCTGCTGAATAGCTGTGAAGCAATGGCTACTGGAATGAGCCCAAGTCGACAGTCCGCAGGGGCAGGTGAAGTGCGCCAGTCTCCCTCGACCTCTCCCATCCCGATCCATTCAAGCTCAGCCTTTGCGATCTGCCTCAGTTTTGCCTTTTGCCTTTATTGTTGCCAGCCTGAGCCTTCACTCAGAGAGGCCCTGCCTGTAGCGTAGCGTAGCCGCATGGGTCAGGAAGAACCTTGGGGCACCGTGACACCGAAACTCTTCCGCTGCTTCCACCAACGTGTCTGCAGACTGTTGAGACATGTGGAGACTGTAGAGCCCGAGCCGTGGAATTCGCGGTGTCACAAGTTGACGATGCAGCGATGGTAAAGTCCAGACACCTTGTCGGCCTGTGCGGAACAAGGCATTTGAGCAAGAACAAGTCAGGGGCAGCTCAACACTCGGCGACGCGGAGTCCACCGGGGAATCGAACTGGGCTGGCGGCAGCACTGTGCTGGACTGATTCGTGCAGAAGGCATCGCAGGTAAAGTGCTCCGTGAGGCCTCATGAAATCACTGTTGGCATCCACCGTTGCTAAGGCATGCAAAAATTCAGGTTATGCCGCTGCCGTCAGGGCATCATGGCTTTGGCGAGGATGTGGCCCAATCGGAGGGCGCACGTGTCGCTGGGCCAGGTAGACCTGAAGGAGTCGCCAAATGACAGGTCAGTCAAACACGAGGAGCACAAGAGGGTTCGTTTTCCAGGCTTCCAAAAACCCCTCTACGTTTCATCTGTTTGCAGGGTCCTGCCACTGCCACGGCTGCGTGAAACTCAGGCTCTGGCTGCTCGCAGATCACGCCACCTCCAGCCGCCCCGTTTAGGCACTGACTGGAGTTCGCCTCAACCGAGAACCGTATGCTTTCTGCACCGGGTGCTGGACACATTCCTGAACTCTAGGATGCAGGCTGTAGCATCCATCCTCGGTCATGAAATCTAAATCTGAATCTCAACATTGCATCTCCGCTGACTTTTCTTGCTTCATTGCGTTTCCATGGAAGTCCTTCTCTGAATGCCAGCTAAAACCTGCCAAGCGGCATCGCAAGGGCCAAGGCCGCGGTGGTGGCCCGGACAGCGGACGAAGATGGATTATGAAGGCTCGACATCCTGTGGCGGATCACATTTTTTGTCAGGGCTTCCCAAAGTCATCGTAGGGCCCTGACACGGGCACCCCTGCGGGCCATGCTGCTGCAAGCAGCCCTGGATATCCAGTGCTGCCAGCGACCTGCCAAGAAATGCACCTCTGCCTCTGGCCGCCTTAGGCCACACATGTTATCGTCACTCACGAACAGGCGCCTGGTAAACAGCTTCCGAAGCCTCGTCGGCACTGAAGCCCTCGGCTCAGGTCAAGGGCTCGATACGCTTTTCGCACACATGGCCCATGCCCAATGGGGAGGTGCTCTCAGTGCTCTCATGATTACTTTCAGGACTCCCTAGCTGCTCACACTTGGCCCGTGGCGGCGTAGGCCGCAGCCTGAGTGTGGCGAGGAAAATACTTGCGATGCTCACATTTCCAGGACGAGCCCCGAGGCCAAGACAAACTGCGCCGCAGAAGCCAGCATTTCGATGTCGCTGCTGCCTGCTCCCCAAACTTGCAACAAGCCTGTCCCCAAATCACAGAGGGCCATGTAAGCAAAGACTCGCAAAAGCCGGGAAAGTCGCCCACCTGTCAAGTTAAGGACGGCCTGCTCCACCTCACAAAGAGCAGATACTTGCACTCAGCCAGTGTCCTGAATGCCCGACCGACCATAATCATTACATGTAAAGAAGCAAAGGCGGCAAACACTCGAGGCCCCAGTGCACGGCTCCACCTTCTGCATAAGCAAAGCCGTGTCGTTTCCATCCTGCATCTGCTAGACCCACGGCGCACGTACCAACCGTTTGGCCTTCACCGCCATCCAAGCATGTCATGTCAAATGCAGGCCTATCCAGATCTTTGCTTTAAGTCATTAAGTCTTTCTAGACCAGTCGAAACAGGAAGGCATTCTCCACCTCCCGAGCACTCCGCCTTGAGTGCCCACGAGGCCGAGAGGGCGGCAACCGGCGTGACTGCAAGGTGTTGAGAGCCTCGGATTCAACCGGGGTGCACAGGTCACAACAATATTGACACAAAAAAAGGCATGTAACATGATTGAGGGTAAATGAATATGCTTATCGAACCCTGTCGATAGTGCTGTTGCTATAGCAGCGATGCTGTAGTTGGTGTTGCCCGCAGCGTGATAGGTCCGTCACTACCACCAGCACCACTACTACCAACGACTAGCACCACCACTACCGCTGACGACGAACACTCCTGCTACCACGACTGACGACTACGAGTGCGACTGCGGCTGCTGCTGCTGCTGCTGCTGCTGCTACTACTACTACTACTACTACTACTGCTACTGCTACTGCTACTGCTACCACCACCGCTGCTACTACTAGTACTGCTGTTGCTGCTGCTGCTGCTGCTGCTGCGACTCCTCCTACTACTACTACTACTACTACTACTACTACTACTCCTACTCCTACTCCTACTCCTACTCCTCCTACTCCTACTCCTACTCCTACCCAAAGCCCTACTCCGACCCCTGATCCTACTCCTACTCCCACTGCTACTGCAATTGCGACTGCTACTGATACTGCTACGACTGCTACAGACAAAAGTTCGCTACAGGACCTGTTCGACCTGTAATTCAACATGTCAAGCATTGTCAGGCACTGGCAGCCGTTGTCCCCTGTGGACTCATCTCGCAAGGTCCCGAAAGGCCCCTCAAGGTTCCGAAAGGTGCCTCCACCGGGAACTGCTTAACAGCATAGACTGATTCTTAACTACTCTGCCGCGCTGGCCACGTAAATAGACCTCCGCCCTCGCTATTTCTCTGCGACGAATGCTCATTCTGCTGAAAAGGCCCTTGTGGTATGTCGAAACTTTTATCGCGGCGATGTATCCCTATTGTTGCTACCATAACCCCGACCACCACCACCCTCCACCATCACCACCACCACCTACCACCAGACAGACGAGTTGAATCTCCTGGTGCCAGGCTGTTCTCCCATTTCCCAATCCACCAAGGCCAAGCTGCTGATTGCGATGCCTGCAGCCTGTACCCAAGCTGAACATGCTCAGACATGCTCAGGGTTGCGGCACTGAAGAAAATGGTCGGTGCAGTTCACAGAAAGCCGTCCGGCAGAATCAGAGATTGAAGCCTCGTCCCTTCTTCGCTGTGCTCGCTTCACCTCGAAATTTTCAGACTGGCTCTACTACCCCTTGCGCAGCTGCTAGCTTGAATCTTCAACCTGACTGAACTTGTCTTAGGATGTGACCGCCGCTTGGATGGAAGCAGCTTGAAAGATCGGACTGTCTGCAGCCTTTGGCGAGGGCTTGGCAGTTGCCTCCTTACTTTCTCGCCGCCCAACACCACAACGCTTCACAGCTGCCAACCAAAGCGGTGTCTTTTCCCTACAACGAGCAGCCGCAGCAGTGGCAAGCGTGGATGAAGCATAGGCAAACTTAAGGCCTGCACACGCCCACAGTTCAACAAGCACACATGTACCGGAATCCTAGTATGGACTAGATACCCCGGTGTTCACGAAAGCAGTGGCGCCTGGCGGGTCAGGAAGGCAGCCTGGCTGACGTCTATGGCTCCTTTCTATCCCTAGAGCGACTGGAACAAGTCGATTAATTGAAAGCCACCATACGTTGTGACGATCATCCATCTCTCCGTTTTGAACTGTTCCTGCTTGTCACCACGACCTGTCTGCGAAGGTCACTTCCACGAAAGGTCATTCTGATTTTTTACCATGAACGCGAGCATCCGCATTGCGATCGCTCCTGTAGGTGTAGTTTCGACAGGTAACAATGCGACTCAACTAGATATATTCCAAAACCGCCCAAGATCCCTGCGCCTGGCCAAGCACCATGGAGGCATGCTTCAGGGAAGTGCCGTCCCGTGCCAGCTGCACTGCTGCCACCTCAAAGTCTAGTGTAGTCCAGTGCAACTTGCAAGAAAGTGTCTCTTCTCTTAAAGTGTCTCTTCTCGTTCCGGATTTAGGGTGTCTTGTATGTCACGTTATGTCACGTTGCATGGTTGGCTTGACGTGCCTTAGGACTGAGGCTCAGGACACCGCCAGCTCCCACAGCTCGGCTCCAACACAAACAGCCAACGGCGACAGCAGCGCCCTTGCAACGCAGAGGGATTCAGAGTGGGGTCCATCGTGTGTCCTAGCAGCGGCGATCATAACGCATCATTTTTCGTCATCATCACCATCACCATCATCATGACCATCCATCACCGTCAAAGGAGTAATTAGAACAGTGTTGTTCGAAACGGCCACTCCGAACCATCACAGCTATTGACCTGACACTGCAAGATGGAGGCCCGACGTCTCGCGCTCCAGGCCAGGATCTCCATCTCCTCCCACTGTCGCGCGAAGGGCCTGGGAAGAGCCGCAGCTAACTACTACTGGCCATGCTTTGTCTGCATGGTCGTCACAAGTACTGTGATTGCTCTAGTTATGTGGTCATCTCTGAAATGTAAACTCTGGAAACTACAGAAGAGCTGATTTGCGAGATCTTAGTGTTTGTATTTTGAGAGATGCTTGAGATAATTTTGTGAGAGCTGCAAACCACTATACAGGAAACATGCGAGAAATGTGCGAGCAAATAGCAAGAAAATTGCACGGTGGCTCCTCTGAGAAGTAGCAGGACCAGGACATCTATTGGTTCATCCGAAATTCAATAGGAATTTGTTAAAATTCTGACTAATTTCTCGCTCACCAACTTCTCGCTAGTGTCTCAACTTCTCACTATTTTCCAAAAACTCTCGAAAATCACTCAGTCCTCGCTCATTCATTCATCCGCTCGCAAACTAACCACAAGCAAACCACCAATTAATGATTTGTTGGTGGCCTCAGTATTTATATGGTGCGAAGGTTACACTCTAGTTGACGCCAGAATGATCATAGGGCAACATCATGTTGCCACTT